ACTAGGACTACAGGTCCCATTTGACCCAGCTATTTCCCTGCTGGGTATCTTCCCCAAAGAATTAAAAGAATCATTCCACAGTGATATATGTACACCTATGTTTATAGTGGCACAGTTTGTAATAGCTAATGCTTGGAGACAGTCCAAGTGCCCATCAACTGGAAACTGGATAAAGAAAATGTAGTTTTTTAATAAAGTGGTGTACTACTCAGCCATAAAGAACAAGAAACTAGAGACATTTATAGCTAAATGGATGCATATCGAGGCCATACTCTTAAGTGAAATAAATAGGACACACATGTATAATACTGAATAGTTTCTCTAGTGTGAGACACTGAGAGTGTAAATAAGGATGAAAATGATTAAAATGAATAATTGATAATTTGAAATAGGAAAAGGTCCAAAGCTGTAGGGGTGGTAGGAGGGAAAGGGGAAAGGGAAGAAGGGAATGGAAAAATTACGAGAAAGAAAAATAAATGGAAACAAAGTCTATGTAAATAGGGAAGGGTGGAGGGGTTGAAGAAGGGTGCACAGGTAATTGGGGAAAAAATAAGAACTCAGATACAGCATGTTCAGGTACAAGCACCCAATGATAAATGTAAATGTATTGTATACCTAAAATGTACCAATAAAGAATAAATTTTAAAAAAAGAAATAATAAATAAAATAGATAAGCACCTAGCCAGATTTACCAAGAGAAGGTGAGAAAAGACTCACATCAATGCAGTTAGAAATGAAAAAGTGAAATCACAATAGACACTGTATATTCCAACAAATTAGTAAATTTTGAAGGAATGGACAGATTCCTGCCAAAACTAAAACCAAAGAAGCCATAAATATGCTTAACAACCCAATAATAAGCAATGAAATTGACACAATAATAAAGAATCTACCAACTAAGAAAAGCCCAGGACCTGATGGAGTCACTGCTGAATTTACAAAACCTTTAAGGATGTTATATCACCAATGCTCCTCAAGCTCTTCAAAGAAATTTAAAGGAATGAAGTGCTCCCAACCTCATTTATGGAAGCCACTATCACCCTGACCAAATCGCTTTAAGAGCCAACTAAAAAAGAAAACTATAAGCCAATCTCCTTAATGAACATAGGTACAATACTCCTCAACAAGATATTAGCAAGTAGAATGCAGCACATTATCAAAAAATCACACATCATAATCAAGTAGGTTTCATCCCAGAGATTCAAGAATGGTTCAACATACTCAAGTCAATAAATTAATATGTCACATAAACAGAAGCAAAGTAAAAATCTTTATGATCATATCAATAGATGCAGAAAAGGCTTTCCACAAAATCCAACACCTTCATGATAAAAACCCTGAGGAAAACAGGTATAGAAGGACTATACCTGAATATGATGAAAGCTATATATGACAAACCAATAGTCAGCATCATAGGAGAAAAACTAAAAGGATTGTCTGCCAAATCAGAAGCAAGACAAAGTTGTCCACTATTGCCTCAAGGAGCATCCATTTTCCTACAAACATCTTAAATCTGTCATTCTTTATAGCAGAGTAGTAGTCCATTAAATATAGATACCACATTTTCTTTATCTAATCATCTGTTGATGGGTACACAGGCTGCTTCTAGGATTTGGCTATTACAAGTTGCACTACTATAAATATTGATATGCATGTATCACTGTAGTATGATGTTTTAAATTCTCATGGGAAGGGCAGAGATACAGCTGGCCCTGAAGGGAAATAAGGACCAGGGAGGCAAGTGATGTCAGAACTTCCTCCACCAGGTACCCACCTCTGGACCAACCAACCACTAACCCACCCAGGAAGGCAAGTTCTGCATGAATTTGAAGACTCCCACCTTGACCTTTAGGGCTTGGGACTTCTCAGAAAAGGAGGTGCTGTTCCCTGGAAAAATGGAGAAGTAATGGCCTCTTGGTCTTTCTTCTAAAAAGCTTGGTGGCAAGATGGGGCAGGGCTGCCTCCCACCTAGGGTACTTCCTGTCCATGCTCTGGAAATGTCTAGGAGTCAGGGGCTTAGTTTCAGTTTTGCTTGAGGCCTTAGGGAATAACATTCTTTTTCTTTTGGGTTGTCTTTCCTGGTTTTTTCTGCTTATAGGGTAGTGAGTCCTCCTCTGGGACAAAGATTAAGGTGTGGGCTGTGGGTACAAGGGTAAAGGTAGCCAGGAGAGGCTGCTAAGTTCATTCAAAGGTATAACATTAGCACTCTAAACTCCCATGAGGTGCACCCCAGCTCAATTCACACAGGAATATGGTACCAAAAACTGGTCAGTAGCAAATGCTGTGCATTTGCCTAGTGAGTCCCCAGTATGTCTCCCTCTTGCACTGGAAAGCTGGGATTTGGAGACTAGCAACCCTGACCACCACTTTATCACTGACAAAAAGGAAGTACATTTTTACAGGCTTTTTGTTTTCTTTTCTTTTTTCTTTCTTTCTTTTTTCAGTACTGGGAATTGAACCCATGGCCTTCACAGTGAGCACCCATCCCTTTTAAGTATTTTTTTTTTTTGAGGCAGGGTCTCCCTTTGTAGTTCAGGCTGGCCCTGAGCTCATTATGTAGACCAGGCTGGCCTCGAACTCGAAGCAATCCTCCTGCCTCAGCCTCCCAAGTGCTGGGATTATAGGCATGCACCACCACACCCAGCTTTAAGTCTTTTATTTTGAGGCAGGGTCTTGCTAACTTGCTTAAGTTGCCAAGTTGCCCAGGCCAGGCTCAAACTTGTGATCCTCCTGTCTCAGGCTCCCAAATTGTTGTTTTGTTTGTTAATTAGTTTTGGTGATACTGGGGATTGAACCCAGTAGGCAAGAATTCTACATTCAGCTACACTCTCAGCCCCACTTCTAATGCCTTTAAGACACATTTCTCTCTAAAATTGGACTAATTCTCACTGTGGTAGCAAACAAGAGAGTCCAACTCAGGAGCTCTTGCCAATTCTGAACATGGTACCATCTCAATCAACTACAAACAACATGCCAATGTTCTGCATAAGTGAGAATTCTCCTTGGAATCAGTCATTCAGATGTGACAGTCACAATCATATCATGCTACTTGACAAAGTATTGTTTCCTTTTCTGCAAAGTTCTTATATCTTTTATACTTTCTCTTTCCTAATCTCTTTGTTCAGTTCTTTATTGATTTTTTTTGTTCTAAAGCTAATACCTTCCTCTTTAAGTATCAGTTTTTAAGCTCAATTTTAAAAAATGTATATTTCTCTTAAGTACTGATTTTACATGACATATGACTCAAACAGTATAAAAGGGTATATGTTAAAAAGTGAGCACTTCCCAGTACAGCTACTGTTTCAGTTCTTGTAGATCCTTGCAGTCATAGTGTATGCATGTATAAGCATGTACATATATATTCTTAATACAACAAAACATATAAACAACCCCACAGCTGGACCCCAAACTATAGCATATGTTTCTATATCTTGTATATGTTTTCTGTCCTTGTGCAGATTACCTTTTTATGTAGGAAATCAACATTTACCAGGACCACTGTTTCTCTTTCTAAGAAGCTCAGACTGAAGAGAGACAGGAGGCAGCAAGTAAAGAGGAAAAGTAGTTTGTGCTCCAGACAGAGTAAGCATCAAGTCTGAAAGCTCCAAGGAAGGGTATGAGCAATCTTGGCTGGAAAGGTGAAGTACAAAGGGTGGCAAGAGGTGGAGGCCTTGAATGGGATGCTGGCTTCATGGTCTGTTTTTTTTTTTACTTGGTTCATATTAGTAATTCATAATGAGGAGATTCATTTTGGTATACTGATACATACATATAAGAAATTCCTAGGGAATGGTATAGGATTCATAAGAAATTCCTTGGGAAACTTTGTTTTGCTCTGCCTTTTGTTCCGACTTCTACTTTCCTTCTTGAACACAGACATGAGCATTTGGATTGTAGGCTTTCTGGTTTTGTTTTTCAGGGCTTGGCATGCAGTATTTGAAGCCCATCCAAATGTGGATAAACATCTATTGCAAATGCTGCCTACTATGACTTCTCTAAGCAAAAATACAGTGTGAATGGAAGAAGACCCCCAAGAACACTTGAAGAGCTTATATTAGTCACCACAGACAGAAATAGCTGATACATCCAGCCCTTTTTCTGTGCAGTTGCATGATCAAATCAAGTAGTGTTAGAGCCACAAAGACCCTAAGAGACCATCTGTTCTAACCCTCTCCATTCTCACAGATAGAGGAACTGAGAAGGGAGAGAGGAAACAGGTTGTTCACACGCAGAAACAGTGTCAAGAACAGGTGAAATAGTTAAAAACAAGAACCATAAACCTAGAATCTTGTACTTAGTGAAATTATCCTTCAAAACTGAAGGACAGACATCCAGCTTTTAGCCAGGCATGTAAGAAGTTTGGAAGTTTTCACTCTATCCCGATAACAAGCAAAATTCAACAGTTTTTCCTAGATTCCTCAGAGAAGTGAGGTCACAGTGAGACAGACAAGAAGCACCTGACTCCTTTCCCGTGTGGCCAGAGTGGGTGTGATTTGGTAAATGGCTGTGGCGCCCTTCCCACTCACTCCTCTCTGCTCTCCCTATCCCTAACCCTGCCCCCCCGCCCCCCGCCATTGACTGGGACAGTGTGCCTTAGTGCCCTCCCTGGTTATTTAGGGCCGCTCTCCTCCAGGATGCTCCAGCAGAAGTGCAGCTTGGCTGTCAGCTGCAGTGCCCCTCCCCTGCTCCCACCACTTCAGACACGGCTGTGCTTCATTGAAGAAGGGGAGGAACCCTAACAAGGGTAAGATCAGGAAAGGAGATAATCTGGCCCTGTTATTAACACTCCCAGCCTCCCCAGTCCCCAGTAGGCTGCAATGAACACAGCTAGCCCTCCCAAAGTCTGGTATCAGACCCACCATTTTTGCTAGAGATGCCACAGCTGTCAATCAAACAGGAGATGCCCACCCCCCACTGGATCATTGCCATGAATGCTGTAACTGTCCTGGAGCCCTGCATCTACTTGAACCAATCACAGGCCTCCATTTGGGCCAATCATCAGGGTAGATTTTTTTTTTTTTTGAGACAGGGTCTCACTATATAGTTCAGGCTGGCCTTGAACTCACATGTAGCCCAGGCTGGCCTTGAACTCATGGTGATCCTCCTGCCTCAGCCTCCTGAGTCCTGGGATTACTCGTCAGGCTAGAATTTGAACCAATCACAGGCCGACATATAGGCCAATCATAGGTCTGTATCTACTATATAAGTAGACTACCCTGACCCACATTAGTCTCTGAGGGTTCCTTAAGGTGTACTGACTGCCCCCCCCACCCGCCCTGTACTGCTACACAGGTTCTGTTAAATTAAAACTCACTCTAGTGGTCCTGTAAATCCTTTCCTGATTTATTTCTCAGGGCTCAAAAGGTCCTGTAAATCTACTCGGGATTTTTACCCTGAGTAGTGTGCCCAGAGTGGCCATTTCAAAAGAAAGAGCAATAAACACTAGGGGCTGTTATGTTAGCCCAGAAGAGATCCAGAGAACAGCGGCCAACGATCAGCAATAGAGACCAGCACCTGGCAGGGTTGACCTGCACTGTCTGGCACAAGCTGGCACCAAGTGACAGCAGCCAGTACCTTGCTAGTTTCCTGATGCCATCTAGCACAAGCCAGAGTCGAGCAGTGGTGGCCAACAACAGCTGTATTAACCCATGGCATCCAGCAGTATCTGTCATCATCTGGTGGCTTCAGGGCTGTTAGCAGAGCTCCACTTTGCCAATTCATGATTTCTATGTGAATTGAGCAAAAGAACCCTCAACTGCCTGGCAACAACAGGGCAAACTGCTGTCCCAAAAACTGGAGAACCAGAAAGGCAGACACAGATAATCACAACTCACAGGAACAGACATCCATGAGCAGGAACCAGTGCTGGGATGGGGAAAACCTGAACTGTAATTGATGAACTCCTGGATGCTCTGCATTGATAGCCTGAGAGTAAAAAACATCAGGGGGCTCCAGTCATAGGAAAGGTCACACACTTTTGTGAGTGTTACCTCCAGAACTTGGACCAAGTTCTCACAGTGGAGACTTGGCAGTGGGTGGGAGGATCACATATGCTTCTGGAGGAGGAAGGGAAAACCGTTTTGAAATATGCTGGAGCATTCTTTTCTTCATGGCCTACCTCTTCTATTCTTTAGGCCTACCCTAAATAGAAACTATTTTACCAGAGTCTGACCTACTGAGGTTTTATCAGAGCCTAACTGACCTGTGGCAGGAAATTCTCCAGCCCCTCTTATCATCCTTCGCCACATAAGTGGGTGGGAAATGGAAGCCCTTGTTAAGTCACACACAGAGGTACTTGGCTCACAGAAACACCAAGGCATAATCATAGGACCACAGCTGCTGGCAAATGCTTCCCCTGTGCCTGTGCCTCATCTACTCACCAGTGAAGGCCCACAGAAGTTACTGCAGTTCCTTTCCCTCATCAGTCATGCCAGCCTTTCTACAGAAAGGCAGACCAAACAGGCAGAAAGTGTAGAACAGACAGAACAAGCATCCAAACCAAGTTCAGATATAGCAAGAATGTTGCAATATCAGACCAACAGTGCTTTGTTTTGTTTTACAGATGAGAAAACATTACAGTTTAATTTCCCATGAGTAAACTGATAGGTAATGTAAATCATCACTGGAGAAACATGGGAACAGTCAAGCATAACGAACACATAGAAAGATAATTGTCTCCACAATGAGGAAATACATTCACTACCTACGTCTTCAACCGTCTGCTTAGCACATGTGCAAAAATACAGCAAAACTACTACAATTGGGTGAGAAACACCTCACAGCTACATGCTGAGTTATGCTAATAAAACTAAACTTATCACTTCCTTTAAAAGTAAAATTGCCATCACTGAATCATTGTCATAAAAAGTCCATTCAAGAACATTACCAGCTATTTTAAATAAACACCGATTTTGAAACAATGAACTTTGAAAACTTTATATAAGGTTTTTAAAAAAATATCCTTGAGGGGCCGAGGATTTAGCTCAGTGGTTCCGCCACCTCCCTCGCAAGCTCAAGGTCCCGAGTTTGATCTCCGGTACAAAAAAAAAAAATCCTTGATTACATTTCTACTTATTCACTGTGTTGGCCTGAAAGTTGTTTTTTTTTTTTGGTACGGGGGATTGAACTCAGGACCTTGTGCTTGCAAGGCAGGCATGGTACCACTGAGCTAACTCCTTGACCCAACATTATATTTTTAAAGACTACCATTTAATTTCTTTAAGACAAAACAAAACAAAAAACCTGTAGAATACAGAACATCAGTAAAACAAGAAAAATGTGTGCTTGTCACTTATTTCACTGCACATAGAACTGCGATAAAATATGATACTGGGTGGGGGGCCAAGGATTTAGCTCAATGACACTGCACCTGCCTCTCAAGTGCAAGGTCCTGAGTTCGATCCCCAGTACCAAAAAAAAAATGATACTTGGGCCACTTTAGTACAGTATATGGGAAAACACAATTTATAGTACAGAAAACAGGGCTTATGAAAACATTACTGTTAAATCTAAGGTTCGTACTTTCACCTCAATTCCTTATTCAGGCCACCACAACATTCCCACTGAGGTCTTTGGGAGGCTTCAGGCACAATCAGCAGCATTTTTCATCCCATAGTTAACAAGGTGTGCAATTCACATTGACTAAAAGACAACTGGTTTGATGCCAGCTCCTGAGTTTGAAGTTTATCTCAGACTACTCTAGAAAATAATTTGTATCACACAGGATTCATCCTTTCCATGCTGGTGCAGTTTTTCCATCAAAAGATAATCAGCCCCAAAATAGAAGAGTTTTGTTTGTGGGTTTTTTTTTTGTTGGCAGCTTTTGTTTTGTTTTTGAGACAGATCTCATTATGCTGCACAGACTGGCCTTGAACTCCTGGGTTCAAGTGATTCTCCTCCCCCAGCCTCCTGAATAGCTGAATTACAGGTGCAAGCCAATGTGCATGGCTTGGGGGCTTTTTAAATCATGTTAAATTGTTCAGTTCCTTTTATCCAACTTTCCACAAGCATCTTAAACTTTCACCCTTACTAAATTGGATGAATGGTATATTCATTTCCTAAAAAGATACAAACATCATAAACCTTTGAAATCTTCTAGATCTTGATTTAGTATCATTGTCATACATGTTTTGTATGTGTTTTGGCCTACTCTGGTTGTTAATCTGTATGTATGATAATTTTTTTGCTTAAATACTTTTATTGGTACATTTTAGGTATACAATACATGTACATTTATCATTGGGTGTTTGTGCCTGGTTATTTATTCTTATTTTTTCCCCATTACCAATGCACCCTCCACCCTTCCCTATTTACATAGACTTTGTTTCCGTTTTTTCCTTCTCTCATAACTTTTCCCTTCCCTTCTTTCCTTTCCCTTTCCCTTTCCTACTTCCCCTACCCCTTTGGATCTTTACTTCCTATTTCAAATTATCAATTATTCATTTTAATAATTTTCATCCTTATTTACACTTTAACCTTCTCACACTAGAGAAACTATTTGCTATTTACATGTGTGTCCTATTTATTTCACTTAAGAGTATGGCCTCAATATGCATCCATTTAGCTCTAAATGTCTAGCTTCTCATTCTTTATGGCTGAATAGTACTCCATTTTATAAAAAAAAGGCACATCTGTTTTGGGGGCTGGGGATTTAGCTCAGTGGTTTCTCTGCTTGCTGCACAAGCGCAAGGACCCAAGTTCGATCCCTGGTAAACCCCCCCCCCCAAAAAAGAAAAGAAAACACGTCTTCTTTATCCAGTTTCCAGTTGATGGGCACTTGGGCTGTTTCCAAGCTTTTGCTATTACAAACTGTGCCACTATAAACATGGGTGCACATATATCTCTGTGGTATGATTCTTTTAATTCTTT